CTCACTTACAGTCCTTCAGCATCAACCAACACTTAAAGTAATTTTCATGCATACATGTTTATAGTAATACATGCAACTTCCACTGACGCTTGAACTACTTTCAGGAGTCCAACTTTAACTGACACTTCAATTCCTTCCCATGCTCACAATGAGCTGACGCATTTGACAAACAAAATCATTTAGTGTGCCTCTCTTCAACCTGCCTTTTCAGCAATGTTATTTACTGACTTCAGCAGTTTAAAAGATACTTTCACTCCTCCTTTAACGTCTTTCATCATCAACACTTACACTTACACCACGCTTACATTTAAAATTCCATTGAAAATTTAACTACACTACACTTTACAACTCTGCTGCTTCTTCTTTAGCAGTTACGCCCATGGCATTTCAAAGACTAAACATATTAAGATATATAAATTTCAAAAGTTTCAACTGCAAATCTGTATTTTTTTTTAATCAAACTGAACCTTTTTTGTCTACTTCTCCTTTAACTTCTCAAAAAGCCTGAGAAAGACATGCATCAGTCAGATCAACTCACATACCCGTTGTAGATGGATGTTGCTGATCACTGCCCTCTGGTGGAGAGTAGCAAAGCATGTGGGCACACTCTCTGAGAACTTGGCCCCATGTTTTCACTCTGTCTGAATGAAAAACGCTCAGCTCCCTCAGCACACCGAGAACTTTCTGCTTGCACTCGTTCTCCTCCTTCTCTTCACCAGCATTTCGTCCACTCTCTTCATCCTCCTTCTCAGCTTTGAGCCCCCGAATAGTTTCAGTCAACACGTTGTGGAGACTGTCCTCTGTCCTCCTGCCATGAAGAGACTCAGCTTCAACAACCTCTTTATTCACATGCAGATTTGCATCCATGCTGTACAGAAAATCTGTCTAATCTGGCCTTTTTTGTGCCCTTTTTGTCAGCCTGTGTTGCAAATAACAAAAGCAATTCACTCCTTTAACAAAATGATGATGAATAATATCAAATATTCACTAAAATACACTGCATCTCCTTCCTTTTATGTTTTAAGCTCCCTTTTCTGCGGTGTCCTTGGAATTGACTGTTAAACTGTGTACAGCTTTCCAAGTTTAGGAGCCAAAGCTGTATTTATATGGCTGCCAGCAGTAAAACATGTTGCCAAGGCGACCCCTGGAGGCGTGGCAGGGAGGGACAAAAGAGGAGAAACAGAGCAAAAGCTTCACAGGAAGACAGAGTGCTGTCCTCCAGACATCTCATCATTCTTTTCTATTCTTCTGTCACTCATTTACTGCTTGTATGTGCAGTAATAAAAAGATGTCAGCACTTTAACTTCACCCACTCCTGAATCATTTAAAACCACATATGGCAGGCACTCAATGAATTTTGGATAATACTTTTTATTTTAAATACTTGCTTTGAAGGCATATTCAATTCAATTTTCTTTATATGGTGCAAATAAACAACTGTTATCTCATTAAACTTTTCATATAGAGCAGGTCTAGACCTTGTTTACATTCAACAATTCCCACCACTAGCAAGTACTTAGCGACAGTGGCAATGAAAAACTTCCTAACAGGCAGAAACCTCGAGGAGAACCATCGCTCAGGGTGGGCAGCAAACTGCCTTGACTGGTTGGGTTGACAGAGCTGGGGGTGGAAAAGAGAGAGAGAGCAAAAGGAGAACACGCAGCAGCACAATGCAGGTTCCACACAGAGATGTAAAACACTAGTAATGATAGTAGTTATAATGCAAACATCAATAAAGGTAAAAATAGCAAATAATACAATAATTGGACTAATGATAATTGTAGCAGTGGGCGTGGACCAGGAACATGGACGCAGCAGGAAGCCACAGATCCAGACTCTACAGCTCTGAGAGCCAGAAACACCTGCAGAAAGTGATAGAAGGAGAGACGAGAGTGCACAAAAAAACACGGGAGAGGAAGGAAGTCGAGTTAGTAACATGCATTAATGGTATTAGAATGCATACAGATGAAGAGCCCAGCCCCAACTTTAAACTTTATCAAAGAGGAAAGTCTTAAGCCTACTCTTAAATGTGGAGATGGTGTCTGCCTCCTGAACCCAAACTGGAACCTGGTTACACAGCAGAGGAGCTTGAAAGCTGAACGCTCTGGCTCCCACTCTACTTTTGGAGACTCTAGGAACCACAAGTAACCCTGCATTCTGTGAGCTGAAGGCTCTGGTGGGGAATTAAGGTACTATGAGTACTATTACATGAGTACTAATAGTATTATTGTTTTTCTCTATTCTTTTATTATTCTTATATAAGTTGCATTTGTTTATTCCATATTCATATAATTCTACATTTATTTATGTCAACTGCATGTTGTCTGCGTGTAGCACCTTATCATCAAAGCAAATTCCTTGTATGCGTAAAACACTACTTCTGATTCAGATGACCTCTATAAGATAAAATGGTGCCTGACCATTAGGAGCTTTGTAGGTGAGTAGAAAGATGATTTTACAGGGAGTCAGTTGTGAGAAACTAATACAGGATAAATACAGTATGATCTCTTTTCCTGGTTCTTGTCAGAACACATGCTGCAGCATTATGGGTCAGCTGAAGAGACTTAACGGACTTATTCGAGCAGCCTGATAGTAAGGCATAGCAATAATTCAGCCTAGATGTAACACATGTGTGGACTAGTTTTTCTGCATCAAGAATGTGTCTGATTTTTGCAATATTACATATAGGTGAAAAATGCAGTCCTTGAAGTTTGTTTTATGGGGGAGTTAAAGGATATGTCCTGATCAAAGATAACACCAAGGTTCCTGGTCCAGGTTGATGGAGGCCAGGAAATACTAACTTGAGCAGTGGTTCTCAAAGTTGGGTCCATAAGTAACACAATGACAAAAAGTAAGGTTATTTTGTTCATGGGTTTCATATGCTTTCCTTGTAGTGAAATAGTTTGACAACCACTGATCAATATATCTTTAGATACTGTATGTGTACAAACACTCTGGGTATGTCATTTAGTTTTTTTCAGATCCTTTAAAAGTCAAACCATATCAATACCAAAGTCTAAAAATACTCCATTGCATGTAAACCCCCTGCATTGGGGGCGGCTGTGGCTCAGGAGGTAGAGCGGGTTGGCTGAACCCCGATTTGCCCCTGGCAGCTATTCCGCCAGTGTATGAATGAGTGTGAATGTTAGTTTCCGTTTGAGCACTTAGGCTCAGTGTATGAATGTGTGTGACTGGTGAATGCAGATGTAGTGTAAAAGCGCTTTGAGTGGTCGAAAAGACTAGAAAGGCGCTATACAAGTACGGAGCATTTACATTTACATTTACATTTGCATTGAAAATATGTCACTTACCTATAGAAGTGTTATCAGCAAAAGCAAACATACTCTTTATTTAGAAACATTCATTTCAGAGCACTTTATTATTAACAATATATTGTAATATTGGATGCAGTTTGTAAATGTTGTCATTTGACAATTCCCAATTTTAGCGACTGGGGTTGGTAAACAGTAAAGTACTGCATCATATTTTAACAAATTCATTAAATGCATGTAAATTTAAATGTCATGGAGTAAAAAGTACAATAATTACCTTGGAAAAGTAGCGAAGTATAAAGTAGTGTAAAATGAAAATACTCAAGTAAAGAAAGAAATTGTGCATAAATTCAGTGTTGCGCAACTGCCCTTAGATCAACAGGAAATGGGCTTAGGAAATTATATCATGCTGTCTGAGTTACATTACATAACGATTTTAATTACCACAGTACTTTTAGTATGAAGCCAGATTGTATACCATAAAAACATGTGGCCCTACAATTATAAACCACTTTTCAGTGTCCCAGTAAGCCATGACAGTGTGTCACTGAGCCAGCATACGCAACACCCTGAAACTGAAGCAGCTAACTGGAATCCAGCAGCTCCAGCACTCTGTCACCATCATGTGGTGAGTTCTGCATACTGAGTTTATATTGCTTACTTTATCTCTTTTTATTCTATTAGCATTAATAAAGTACATCGGTGGAGGAAGAAAAATGTATCATGAAAATAAGGTATTAAAAATGTTTTTACTAATATTTTAATTACAAATATGACATAAATTACGACGTTATATTAATAATAGTGGGTTGAATAGTTAAAGACTGCTGCTGTTTGTCTTGATGCTTTACCTAATATAAGAATTGGTGTTTTATTTAAACTTTTTTTTTTTACAGTTGGAATAACAAAAAACTTGAAGCATAAATTTAAGTTTGTTTGAATTCGTTAAACTGCTGCCAGTAGTAGTGATAGTAGTAGCAGTAGTAGTAGTCTATCACCTTCCATAAAACAATATTTAATATATATGTTTATTTGCCAACAGTGTTAATCTGTCAATCCCATGTCAGATCTGAAATACATATTCTTATTGGTATACAGGCAGCAAAGGAATCTAACATAATAAAAGCAATCTAACATAATAAATCATGAAACAAAATGTGTACCTCTTTCCTCAGGAATCACTTTAATAGGTGTGCGAGGCAGCCTGCTGCATTCCTGCCTGTGCGTAATGCGTAGCCTGGGGCCTGTAGGATCAAGCTGGGGCATGCAAGCGTTCCCAGAAAATACAGCTGGAGTGCCTCCACTTTGCAATTCTCCTGTGCTCATCACATGCAAGCACACTTTTTACTCTACAAACAGCCTTACTTCAGACTCACTTCTGCAGGAACAACATGGGAGCCCTGACAACTTGCAACATGGCCCAACACAAAGTTAAGTGAGGTATTGCGGTGTATGTATTTGTAGGTGCACAAATGATGGTGAGGACTGTACTTCTGCGGCTGGCCCTGCGCTTCTAATATGGGCGTGGAGCTGCTGTCAGCGCCTCAACACACAGCGGACGGAAACAGACGAGTGTCTAAAAGCACGCGCGCAGCACTCGCGACAGTCGGGGAGACTCTGAGCGGAGTTAATTTATAGAAACAGGACTCAGCGAGAGGGTTTGCGGTGGATGCTTGAGGTTTCCCCACCCGTTTAGCCCGCAGGTAAGATTTTGCAGATCACCGCACGCACCGCGAGCGTGTTACGTCAGCGCCGTGACATTCATGCGTTGTGTTATCTGTCAAAAGTCGACCGAAGTGGGCTCAAGACTGAACTTAAAGACTAATTTAAGACTAACTTAAATTAAAAGCGCTTTTTTAGTGCGCCAGAGCTGGAAGTGTTTAGCACCTATTTGTATCACTTACCGGTAATTTAGGCACATTAAAACGAGTGGCGCAGTTTTTCACTTTATTGCTGTCTGTTAACTTACACTTCACTATTACTTTTCCCAGTAAGTTTACTCACTCAAATGAGTACACCTCATACGTGCAGCACAAGTCTCACTGGTGTTGCTGCTGAAAACATGTGCCCAAACGGCTCTGTGCAGCTTGTGGAGTGATAACGTTAGCTTTGCAAAACTGGTTTTAGTTCTGAAATTAACGTTACATTCCTTAATACATGTGTGCGTGACGGTATCCTCAGAAGACCACCTAATGCTGAAGTGAATTTACAATATTTTACCAGGGCATACGCTTTGCAGAGCTGGCATCCTCTCACAAACCAGGAAGGAGACACAAATTGGACTTTGTTCAAAGTTAGTTGTGGCAGAGTGACGTGCAGGTGTGTGTGTGTGTGTTGGTGTGCATGCTGTGACTCATCCCTTGTACTGTGTAAGCACACCTGTGGAGTTGCAGAGGGCACTGCCTCTCCTGTGCTGGCAGCTACACTCTTGCTCTAATAAATTGCTCTCCTATTGTATAACATTGTGTGCATACTTTATAATTGTGTTCCCTCCAGTTGTATCTTTATGGCTGTGCACACACTGCTTCATTATGTTCTCATAACCATTTGGTATGTGCAGAGCTGTTTATCAGGCGAACTTGTCTTTTTGCTCCCCATTGATCTACACACTCTGTGGGCTTCCACACCGGGCCAGTAGCTGTGATCAAAACTCCTATATCCCGCTCTTAATAGTGTTTGCTGAATGTGTGTGCTCTATGGTGTGTACTTTTGTATGTGTGCACATTGTGTGAGTGGGCGTAAAAGTGACAAAAAGGCAGAGATGTGGAGCAGGCCAGGTCTAATGTGCCAGCAAGCTTTGGCGTGTGCCTGTGCTGGCTGTGAGCCAATACAGGTCCCTGCATGTTAACACAGCAGTAGGCAGCTGGGCAGGTCTGATCGATTAGGCCTCTGTTGTGAGGACTTAACACAGTCATGTGGGGAGCTGCGACTTTAATTTGGCCCTAAATGTGTGTACAGTGCTCAAAAGGGCAGAGCAATGGAGCAGTTATGGTGTGGCGGTAGTGAAAGCGTATTGTAGTTTTTTTGCAATCTCATATGATAGTTGATATAAGAGAGGGGAAGAGACACATTTTCCATTCTGTGAGCTACTTGCATATCAGGTACTCAAATGTATACTCATGCATATGATACAAGTGTGTGTTTACGTGAAAGCAGAAGTAACACTTCATGTCCCCTGTGTAGGTTTGCAACCTAAAAGAGAAGTGGACATGTCAAGATGTTGATGATGTATCTTCCTGAGTGCCACTGTGTGTGTGTGTGTGTGTGTGTGTGAGGGAGTGACAGAGAGTGAGAGATCAGTCCTGCCACACTATTAGTCAGTGCTTGACTTTAAAGAGATGGCGTGAAATCACCAGGAAACAGATATTTAAAAATATCTTTCCATGAGCAGGGTTATTACCTGTGTATGGTGCAATGCAGTGAGCTGCCATGTAAAGCTTGGATTTTTAATCTCTGCTGCGGGAAGTGCTGTGAAGAAAGGAAAGGTGTTCCAACAAAGAGGTCAGTAGGCCTTTCTGCTGTTTTATTTGGTTCTCACGTCAGACTTTACCAAAACCTGACCATAGAGCCATCATGGTGGCATGCTATTTCCTCATAGGTATTGCTGTTTCCTGCTGCGAGTGTTGCAAATTTTGCTTTGGTTTTGTTGAATGGCATGTTTGCTCACTTCTTGTTGAATGTACAGTTTACGTGTATCTGGGTGTTTTCTGAGTAAGCTTAAAGGAATAGACATTTTGGGGAACAGGCTTGTTAGCTTCATTGCTGAGAGTACAAGGGAAGAGCAGTACCACTCTCATATCTGTAAGGTAAATATGAATCTACAGCATGTTAGGTACCTACCAACACCTATTTAAAGCTCAGCAATAAATATAGTATAATTACAGTATATTTCAGTTGTTTCGGTCTGCACAAAAAACAATGTATGTATCAATCTAGCCTATATCTTGGCATTTGACAGTGACTGAAACCTAAACCACAACTTGTTTTGTCCAGCAATGTCATCAAAGTGATATTTTTAAAGTAAAAACTCAACCCTTCAACCCCCCCCACAGTACTTCCTTATGAGACAAAATCAGTATCTACTTTGAATAATTTGGGCTTGTAGAAAAAAATAATAACATAATCAAGGTCTATCATGATTCCTGTTACAAGTAATTGACCTTTCAAAGGTTAATAATCTTGTCTGTGGTACAAGAGTGGAGTCATGCAAAGATTAAATTCAGTTTGACAGCAGTTACAACCTCTTAAGTTTACATTCCTTTGCCCATCACTAATTTTTATCTGTTTTTGTGTAGGCTCTTTAAAGCTGAACTACTATATCTTCTGAAGTTCTTCCTGATGTGGCAGAGGTGAGAATTGAGCATCATGTTGGAGCCTCCAGAGCCAACCCAGGAGATTGTGGAGTGGTTGTCCACCCTCCGCCTGTCCCAGTACACCCTGTGTTTCCGACAAGGAGGCTATCAAGTTCTGGAAGACTGCAAGGATCTCACAGATGAGCGGCTTCTTGAGCTTCAAGTGTTTCCAACAGGCCATCGTAGGCGCATCCTCCGGAGTTTGGAAGCACTTGGGGTGAAGCAGCAGAGTGGTGGAGAGGAAGATTATGAGGAAGAGGGAGGGATAGAGAACGGGAGGCGCCAAAGGACGCCAGTGCCTCATCCGAGACATATCTTTCTGAAAGATAAAAAGAGGGGGACTTCATGTAATCACAGTCAGCCAAAGGAGAAGAGGGAGTATGATTTGGTGGGGAGCCAGACTTTGCCTCCAGGAGCAGGACTGGGGAGAGACATTGAGGATGTACCAGAGAACAGATACCTCTGCCCGCCTCAACCAGCCCCACGCAATCCCAAGAACATCCAGACATCCATGTCTGAACTAACCTGCATTCCTGCCCCCGTGTCCTCCTGCTGCTGCAGCAGCAGCAGCAGCAGCACTGAGTCCCTCTCCCCTTCTGAAATGCCCTCAGACTGGGAGATTACCACAGAGGAAGTCCCCCATTCAGCGCTTACTGAAGACCATGGGGGGTTTTGTGGTGAAATGGTGGAAAACTCCATCTATGAAACACAGCCCAACTTTAAAGTTCCTGCAGGACCACGGTTCACTCGCTCCTACCGGCTGAGGCACCGTCCTGTCCCTGAAATCCCGATTCTGCCCGTGTTGCCACTTCATGACAGGTTCATAAGTTTAACGTCAAGGAATAGGGAACTGCATTATTCACTTGACCAAGAGTTAGATGGAAAAACTGATATTTCTCTCTTTCTGTACAGTAATGAAGCTATCGCCAGCAACTGCTTTGCTTAGCTTAGCTTACGGTAACATAAAGACTGGACACGGGGAAATAGGCAGCCTGGCACTGTCCAGAAGTAACAAAACATAATTTGCGCCCTGCTATGGACTGGCGACCTGTCCAGTGTGTACCCCACCTTTTGCCAATGTCAGCTTGGATAGGCTTCAGCCCCCCGCGACCCTGTACGCAGGATAAGCAGTTTACGATGGATGGATGGATAGATTTTTAATTTGCACAAAAAACTAACCTAAATTACTTTACTGTCCTTTTATTGATTTAAATATCACAGACAACACAGTTTAATTAACATCAAGACGACGTAAATGTAGGTGATTCAGACAAAAAGCAAATTTTCAACTGCAGTCCCTGGGCAAGGTATGACGTTGTACATTACAAAAAACAAACAAGAAATACAAAATGCAGACACAATGACATCAAAGCACATATAAACAGATTTAGGACAAACAAAGTGTAAAAATGTTTGTGCCAGGCTTGCCTTTTTTCCCCTCCAGTGTTTGTGGTAAGCTAAGCTAACTAGCTGCTTGCGGTAGCTTAATTTTTACTGTATGGACAGGAGAGTGGTGGAGGAGGAGGACTTTTTATGATTTGGTTTTTGTATAAAACAAACAAAATATAAATTGTCTATGTGTGAGTTTTAGAAGTGTTAATAGGTGGATTTTGTTAAGCTAAGCTAACCGGCTACTGCTGGTAGCTTCATATTTATTGTCCAGACATGAGAGTGCTGTCCATCTTCTCACCTAGCTCTCAGGCAGAAAGCAAATAATGTATTATGTATGTATTTTCCAATATGTTGAACTATTTCTTTAAGCATAAAGTTTGACTTTATGAAAGCTTTTCAGAACTAATCAAACAAGTTAGAAGAGCAAAGTGAAAAGCACCTGGAGAAATAAATGTGCACGCTGCCGTGGCATGAATGAACATGAAAGCAAAATTTTCTCTCTTTGCATTCAGATTTACACTGATAGAGAACCCAAGGCCTCAAATTTCATATTCAATTCTGCATTCCACGTACACTGATACTCCGAAACTAACTTTCAGAGTTCCACATCTCTTTTGAGAAGGCCTTTACGTTTAAATTGTGTTACCTATTTTTCCCAAGTGCTGCATTGGTGGTTTTAATCCACTGATTTCTTTTCCTCCTCAGGAGCACACCACCACCGCAAACAACCAGCCCTGAACACCTAACCGGCTCCGAGGGTCCCGCCGGTGCAAACAGCATACAGAAAGGTACACAGTCTTTCAGCTGCATCCGCTTCATCTCTGCCATGAATATTTCATTCGGCAGTAGAGTCAGCGGTGCTGTTGTTTGCCCGGATGAAAGAAGGGAGAGGAGATGAGGGGGTGGGTGGGGTGGGATGGGGGTGTTTGGCGGCTGTGTCGTGGGAAACGGCGTCGCCCCCGTTTCAAGGCACATCTCACAGGGAATATGCTCCCTCACATCTTGTCCCTCAGCGAGACCCTAGTGTGTATTCCTGTCACCCGGTTTTCCAAAGTTTTTTAGAAGTTGTTTAACTTTACTAACAACACACAGGTTTGTAGTAACAACCAGTACAAATATGTTTTGAACTTTTCCTCCTCCCTTGCTGGATCTACTGGGCCGGGCTTAGTCGACCCTTGTGTCTCATCTAACGAGATACTACGTGAGCTGCTTTCTGTGCTGAGGAAAAATGCGCTCTCCTAGGATTATGTGACGCTTTTCTGTGACGACAGTATGTGTGAATGTGTGTTAAACACCTGTGAACATGTCAGTCTTTCTGTGAGCTTTTCTGACCACATTGTGACATTTTCTCTTGCCGTCGTGTGCAGCATAGCAACAGTTTTCTGTCCGTTTTCTACACTTAATCTCCCCTCAAGCTCCTCTTTTGGCATTCACTTCCTTCCTTGTTCCTTGTACCTTTTTTTTTAATGTGGCAGTCTCCTGGTAGGCCTTGTTTTCCCAACTTTTTCTCTGGATGGAACAAGACAGGGAGTGAGACTATAGAGAAAGGCAAGACAGTGAAGTGGGTTGGGAGGAAGGAAGAGGAGATGGATGCAAAACAGGCGGAGAGATGGAGGAAGAGAGGGAGCCGAGATGGTCCCAGAGCAGGGAAACGGGGAGCTCGACTAGCAAGCTAAATCTCCCTTCATGGCAAGGTCTAGCAAGGCGTTATTTGACATATTATTTTACCCGAGCATGTTTGAAGAGTTTATTGCGAGATTAGATCCAAAACTTGGGGAAAGAAACCGCAGTGTTGTCTTAAAGAATGATTGTTGTATTCAATCATAACTTGCTATTGGAGGCTCAGAATTTTAATTAACACCTTGGCACCACCTCTTAAAAATACATTTCTTTCACAGAAATAATCTCATTGAGAAAAGCCTTTCTGTCTAGCGCTTCTTCTGCAGCAATGCAAAGAGTTGTAGTTTTTAAATAGATCTATATATATGGGTCTATATAATATAGGTCTACTTCTCAAAGCCTTTGGTCGTGCAGTGACATACACACGGCCTGATTAATGCACTTCCTTTTTAAGAAGAAATACCTCACATATATGTGTGAGGTATTTCTTTTTATGACATTGCTCTGGCATTGACAGACATGACCATGTGCACACACATCACACTGGTTCTTAGTCAAACTTCAGAACACACAAAAGCTGACAGAAATTAATGAAGTTGTCATGTTACTTCCAGGTCCAGCCTGCACATTCACTGCATCTAGGAAGTTGCCTGTGCATTTTCAAACAGTACTTAAAAAAAACATTCATGTTTTCACACCTTCGTGTCTACAGCAACATTCAGTTGTGCTGTAGAATAATTATTTTTAATCATCTGTACACCAAAAGTTTATTTTATAAAAAATTGACATTCGTTAATCATCATAATATGTGCAAAACAAGGGAAAACGGTACGACCTTTCCACTTCTCCCAAATCACACAGCTCATCAAATAGTCTTCCTCCTGCCAACCTCATTAGCCAGAGGAAGAATATCATTTCTCAACTATGCAATTAAAGATTTTGGCTTCTACGACATACTGTATGTTTCAGGGCTGTACTATGAAATATGCATATATGTTCACTTCTGTCCTTTAGATAGAATATTAATCGCTAAATTCAAGGAAGGTTAAAATCAAGGGCAAATTGTTTTTATTATTTATTTATTTATTTTTACAATTTTAACCTTTTTTGTATAACAATGCCCTGGATGACTAAGAACCTTAACAGACATTAATTGCTAAAACAATTTGCCAAGCAAAAATACCAAGCGTAAGCTGGTTTAAATAAATCTAATATATCTATTATAAATATAACAACCCTTATTATTATGATTATCACCCTCATTGCACTAGTAATAGTGATACAAATAAAAGAAAACAACACCCTTCACTTGTATTATTCTGGAGCTATTCAGGGAAGCAGTGCCTGAAATAATAAAATGCCTGGTGACTAATCTGAATTCAGACAGTGGCAGTTATGCGTCCTCCATACTCTGTGTGGGAGTGACACAGAGGAGCGATAATAACAAACTGACCTGCAACTCCCTGACTTAAAAGAACTGAGGCTTCATTCAGAACAAGCAATCAATCTCCTCACTAACTCCTCACTGATGGCAGCGTCTAGGTCCCGTTTCCAGGCTGCGACTTGAGAGAGAGAGAGAGAGAGAGAGAGAGAGAGTCTGGTTGGGAGCAGATAAAGAAAGCAGCATGTTGGACTGAAAGAAACAAAAAGGAAGAAGCTGGAGACGGAGCCAGTGAGGGAAGAATAGTGGCGAATAAGACAGGAATTGAGTACAGTAGCGTCCGACGGGCCCTCGGAGAGAATCACTAGTGGCCTGGAGGTCGGCTGATAGATGATGATTAATGGTCGCTATCTGCCCACCAAGCCTGTCCGTACAGAGGGCGGCTGTGTTAACTGACCCTTCATAAAGCTCAGTACATGCCCTTTGTGCTTTTCTGTGATGGCCTGCGTTGTTTGGAAGTGTGTGTCTATAACGCTTTAAAAAGTAGGACATTCACATCTGTGTTGGCGCAAGTGTGTGTGTGTGTTGACTTATTTGTCCATCCTTTTTATGTCTGTGTTTGTCTCAAGGCATCTTTATGCGTTTGAGGATGTTTCGATCTTTGTACGCCGTGGTCTGCGTGTATGTCTTTCTCCGCCGCCAGTGTCTATGTGTGTGTCTAGCCCCGTGGCGACGTCTTCTGGCCCTCACAATCCTCAGGAGAGGCTGGTGTCATTTTTCACAGTGACAGGCGGTGGCCCACGCAGGGTGGCCCCGGGTCTCCAGACTAATAGTGTCTGGCCAGAGTCTCTCTTCTTCTTCGTCTTGGCTTCTACCGACCACCGACCACGGCCCCCACAGGAGCCAAGACAGAGAAATGGCCTTGGCAGAGACTCAGCCTGTTTGCGACAGACTAAGGAGGATCAGAATCCCAGTTGGGCAAGGAAAAGGCAGAGGCAGAGAGATAGGCATGCTAAAACTAAATTTAATTGGTTTATTTTTTACATGGATCAAGGTTTGGCGCATTTCTTCAGATCAATGTGTTGGTTTAATCAAAGGGCGCTATAATATCTGTGTGATTTAAAATTTAACTGGAACAATCCTGTTAAGCTGCTTACTTTCACGCACCAAGTTTAGGCCTTCACACTGTGTTCTGCAAGTTTCAGTGCCGTGACAAAACCACTATTGTGTTGTTTGTGTCCTTTTTAGCTTCACTTCAAAGAACCTTGATGCCCATTGCTCCCTACGGAGAAACATTCCTGTACAACAGCCCTGAAAACACGCCGGTAAGAGAGTGCACACTCCCGCTAGCGGACAGTGACTAGCAGCTTACCAAAGAGGAACAGGCATTTTTCAGATCTTCAACACGATCAGTGATGTTTCAGCCGCTGTTCGCATAGCCAAACTTCCCCCTCAGTGTTACTGTTGTCACCATGGACACATAGCAGAGGGGAAAATGTGCTTGTTTCAGTTTGCCACCTGAGGTTAATAGAAATGTCACCTAGCCACTAAAGTTAACATAGCTTAGCACAGCAACACGATAACAGTGTCTGACTGAAAGATGGACACTTTCTATTCCTCTGATGCTAATCTCTTCCATGCTTTATAGGACCATGGCGCCAAAGAAGGGTTACAGAAGGGTTTTAAGGACAAGCTAATCCCGACGAAACAGAGGTATGGTATGCTGATGTAATACTGCCGTCTCACTCTCTGCATGTATAAATAGAAGTTCAGATGCAGAGAGCTAATTGGCTGCTGATGTTTTTGTGGTTACTAATCTCAGTGTAACACGTTGGATACATTGATAAGACTTTTATCATGTCATGCAGCTGCATGTCATTCTCAAAGTGGAGAAACAACAACAACAACCATATGTTAATCTGCTTGCCACATTCCAAAATGGAAAGACCAGATTCTCTATAGTAACTCTTGTTTGTTTAATGTGTACCCAAACAGAAACTGTGGTTTTACCAGGAGTTACCTGATGTCACTATTTCTTGCGCAGTGATTTCCTGTTGCTGTTCATAAAACCAAAGCTTGTCCTTTTTTCTCACGACCGTGGCATCTCATCTGACTCTCTGCAAGAAAACAATAAGGTGTATTCCCCAAAATGTCAGGCTGTTCCTTTAACGTTATCCATGCTCCAACAGAAAAATGACGCCCAAACAGAAAGAGTCCACGGAAAAAGGGTCTCCTCCAGCTATCCCAGACCGCTTCAAAGACGAATACTCAACAGTGGAGGAGTGTGTTGGTATTTTGCCGCAAGCCGGTTTGGACCCAAGTTTTGCAGTGACCCCTGAGGCTGCCTCTGGCCCTAAGGATGGGTCTTTAATCATGGTGGAGTGTGACCTCTACTCGGAGCCTGCAGACACTCTGGGGGGGGCAACCAGAAACGCACAACCTGATATTTCTCCGTACGCATGCTTCTATGGAGCCCCCAAACTCCAGACGCTCAAAGTGGGCTGGCTGGACAAACTGTCACCTCAAGGGTAGGTTTGTGTATTGCTATGATATTATAGTGATTAGAGACTCAATCCATGATACATGGATGTAGTTGAAATCTTCATGAATGCACAACCTTTCACCCCAACAACTCAAAATGTCCCTCACGCCACTTCCTCTTAAGTGCATAGGAAAGTAAACACCACAGTCAGCCACAGCTTCCTGTTTCTTTGTAGGCCTTTTTTCATTCTGCGCTGCCCCGTGTGTCTTCTATCTTTGATGACTCTTTAAATCTGATAAGTGGTATTAGATACTGAAGCCTGAAGCAGATCTGTCCATAATGCATATTGTAGCACCACTGAAAGGGGAGGCGAGGAAATGGGAGATAACCTTGTAGAATTGAGATGCACAATGTGTCGGCTTCACTTCACTTGGCTTTTACTGGCAAAACTAAATTTTCTCTTTGTGCCACAAACCGTAACAGTAACTGTTGCTCAAAACCAGAGCTAGCTTTTCATTAACTTCCTTTTTCTGTTCTCCTTCACCACCTGATATGCATAGGTTTGACAAACTGCTGGGCTGTTGAATATTCATATTGAAAGTGGCCATTTGTTTTGATTATGGTAATTGGCAGCTGCTGATACAATTCTTGACATTAATGAATCAATGGCACTCGTGATGAAATATGAATACCTGCTCAGAGCAGATTCAGTTACTGGGTTACCGTCCCTCCTCCCTCCCCTCCTCTGTTATTTCACTCAAAACTGGCTTAGTTTGCTTGAATGAGCCAGCTGGATTCAATTGGCAACTCTTCTTCTCTTTGCAGAAATTGTGTTTTTCAAAGGAGGTGGGTGAGATTTGACGGTGAGAGTCTGGCCTACTACAACAATGACAAGGCAAGTGGGAGAAAGACACATGTACACGCTAATGGCTGCGAAAGCCTAAAACGCTTTTGCATGCACATGTCAACACATCTCTTCCCTCCTCCCGCTTCCTGCTGACACACCCACATCCTCCACATGCACACTGGCGAAGGCAATATCATTCCTCCCTTACAGAAATCTATACAACGAGCAGCTGAGCCAAGTTCTAAGTGTTCCCTTCTCTTTCTCCTCCTCCTCCTCCTTCTCATTGTCATCATCATCATCATTAGCTTGGCAGGGTAAAGAAAGGGGGCAAGGACAGAGCGACATTATGCCATGCATGACAAGCCAGCACTCTCTGTGCCCGCCCAGCCATACAGTAAAGTACATTGATGTTGGCACCTGACCAGTTCCCCGAAGAAGAAAGAAGGGGGGGGGGGAGGGGGACTCTCCTCTGTTTTTGCCTCCCTCAGCATTTCCCTGTACCTCTCTCCATTCTCCTTCTCTTCTGACAGCTGAGTTTGAAATTTTGTATAGCATCGCCTGCCTTATCATCACAGAGAGGGAAGGACGGAGGGGGAGAAAAGGGTTGGGGTAGGGGGAGAATATGGGACACTGGAGAGGAGGCAGACAAAGATGCAGGCGAGATGGCAGTTTAACCACCACCTGTTTAGCCTGGACACTGTTGTTGTTATGTCACAAACTTTTGGAGTTACACCATCTGGCTTTGGCAGCACCTTTGAATGAAGACAGCAGTCGTTATGAACTGAACCAATCGAATAAGGTGACTGAATGCTTGAATTTTTAAATGCTTGAATTTTTAAAAGACCACGCCTGTGATTTTTCACGTTTTTACCCATTTGCTACAAACCTGATGTCCTAAATATTTACAACATTTAGGACGTCAAGTTTATCTGCGGTACTACACTATTTTTGCCCTTAATTTTCATGTATCAGCTCTATGCATCAGTATTAAATAGAGAACTCCTTAAATAAAATATACCCTGAAGTTGGAATGGTTTTCTGGTTTGGATGAGTAAATATCTGATCAAATAGTAGGTTAACAAGAATCTGTCCAAGCTCTTTTCGGTACTTGCTATTAGGGTTGGTTATTGAGAACCGGTTCCAAGTTTTGATTCTGCTTAACGGTTTTTAAGTATTTACATTTTTCAGTCGCACTTCCGATTGAACTGCAGTGAGCATTTTAGAGGCTGTAGAAGTTGCACTGGGGTCACGGACACAACAAAGCTTCAGTGTCACAAAAAAAAATAACGACACAGCAAAATGCAACACCTGTAGTAAGGATATTTTGTGTTAGAGGGAGGAAGCACCTCCTGTATGATGAAGCATTTACTTCAACACAGTGTGAATCTTAAGGATTGTGAATAATGTGTTGCGGTCTCTCAGCTACAATGATGCCCTAGATACAGCTAACTGTAGCGACGTCTAATGCTCAGATACAAAACACGAACTGATGAACTTCTGATGACATTCGCCTTTTATAGTGAAGGCATGCGAATGATTTCTAGAAATTATTCTAATCTATATTTTTCACACATTCATACACCACTCTAGCACAAAAACTTCTTTCACTTTAGCCACGAACGGGAAGATGAGCAAGGAGAAAGTGGACAAATGTCACAGAGGGGTGACAAGATTTGTGGTAAAGGGGTTGGAATCAGAACTAAGATTGATAGGAACCGGATTCAGTAAATAGAATCAAAAATCATAATCAGAATTGATCAAATTGAAACGATACACAACCCTACTTGCCTACAGACATGGTTTAGTCAGTACTCAAAAAGTAGTGAGGTTCGATAGCCAGCCCTGGTGCAGTGCAGACTTTGCAAATAAATCTGCATTTAAATGGCAATATCACGCCACAATGATGTAACCCTGACAAACATTAATAGTAGATTTGAAATCTGTTGGAAGCAGAAACGTTAAGTATACATTATTTGTATTTAAGGGAGCTAAAACTTGAATAAACTCTGATGTTATCCTTTTAATAAACACTTTAAATGCACGAAGTCTGTGTTTTCAAGTGAGTCTCGAGCGGCCATAACCCATCTGACATAATGTGCTTTACCGTCATGTTCTTGCTAATGACCGTTGGATGTATCTTGCACTAAGAACAAACACATTTCTGTGTGTGTGGGTGTGTGTGAGCGGTGACCTCAGCGCCCCTTCCCAGGGCCAGCTAGTTTTCGCTGCAGCAGCATTGCACAACATCACAATCAATGATGTGGGACCTGTCTGATGTCTGCTCGTTAATCACTTACTAATTATAGCCTTCCATGCTCGCTCGCTCCCTCTGTGTCTCTCTCTTTCCCCTCGTTTTCTCTTTCCATTGCATTTGTTGCTTTATTTATCAGGACACGCTCCGTTGCCGGCTGAGTGGGAATCGGTGGGGAGGCCAGCGAGTCAGCACTTTATTCTCTGTGTCACTGTCGGCGCAGGCACGACCGTTTTAGAAAGATGAAAGTTTGCCTTTCTGTGTGTGTGTGTGTGTGTGTGTGTGTGTGTTTGAGAGAGAGGGAACAGAGATTGTTGTTTAGACTTTTTAAAGTCATCCTGCCAATGTGACTCTCCCCTGAGAAAGCACAGGGCTTCATCATGTTTCGGGTGAGCAGAGGGGTCGAGTACAATCTCTCTGTCATCCCTGCTTTGTGTAGCCAGCTGAGGCCCTGTACCACCCTGCATGCCACCCAGTGCCACCTCCACAGGGTGAGCGCAGGGGTAGAGGAAGATTGCATGGACAGGCAGGAAGTCTCTTAGCACCGCTTTATGCCATAAAGTGAAATACGAGTTGGTGGCTTGCTTTCTGTCAAAGTGCAGAGACATGCTGCTGCACTGCTCATTTTTCCTGCCATATTGTCATGTTGATGTAGGGGTGCAAAAGCTCAATTTATTTCAGACCAGGTCTGTTGATTAAATGATTATTCCATTTGGAGAGCTCCAGGACTAGAGCCATAACCACAATTTTCAGCAAAAAGAACTGAGCAGTCACAGTAGCTATTACTGAAGCTTCTGCTATCATGTATATCTAAATCTGAGGCTGATTATGGGCACATTTGAGCTAAATACTAACGTCACAGTGCCACTGTAACATGTCCACAATGACAATACTAACAGTTTAGTATGTTAAACGCAGCAGTTTAGCGTGTTAGCATTGCTAACATTTCTGTACAGCTCAGGATGATAACAAAGTCAGTGTTGAACAAATTGATGTGAGACCATGTAACTGAAAAAATAATATAAATAACAAATCCCATCTCTTTTTCTTACAAAACAAAAAGTTTAATTAAAGGTGAGCTATTCTAGAGAAATCCAAAACCAGATATAAAGCAAACGACAACAGACCAAGTAATTAATGTTAGCTAGGATTTGGGTTAGCAAACCATTGCTACTGCTGTGAAGCTAACATACGGAGAGGATGAGACAGTCCCAGAGGCAGCACACCAGCTCCAGACAGCGATACTCACAACCTTCCTGCTACTATAGCTAACATCACAACAACTTGGTGAAGAAGAAAGTAATCTGAATGTAAGTGGGCAAGTCATTAAACGTTACCTGACACACAAATCATGGCTGGAATAGTATTGTGTGGCTCAGACCGCGCTACTTTCTTTGTTTCCCATTTACAGGGCTGAGTGCAAACACTGGACATATTTTCAGCGCACTCTGAACGACAGCTAGCGGACCGTGAGAAGATATTGAATTTGACAAAAAGACGTGCAATGGATTAGAATCACATACACCACCCTTTAAATAGCAATAAAACTCCACCTTGCTCAACTCAGTACACACAGGAGTTTGCCACAACAGCCTTACGTGGTTTGGTTTGACCAGTAGCTTATGGTAACTATCTTGTTTAATATCTTTTAGGCTACTATAAAATCAAACATGTTTGAAAACTGTTGTGGCATAGACAATCATAGATTGAATTTGGACTTGGCCTTTTGTCTCAAATCTTAAACGAGTGTCTAAGATTTGCTCAGTCTGTAGCTTCATTCTCAGATGAACTCAAGACTGACATCAGCATGGTTTTACAAGTCTCTCATTTAAGACCCCGTATACAAAAATAAAAATGAACACTGAAACATTCCCATGCTCGTTCTCTTTCTCAAACTTTCAACACCCCCCAAAACTCTTTTGTAGGTCCTCTGGGATCTGTCAGCCGCAGACAGAACTAATCGCACTTAATCACAGTCGCAGCTTGAAGGTCTCTGGCCGTGGTGATGTCATCATCGGGGTAGCGAAGGTGGCGTGGGAGAGTAGCAAGATCCTCGGTCTCACTTCTCCCTCTCTGCAGCGTTGTATCCAATCCGTCTCATCAATCACTCCTTTCGCCTGATTTCGTCAACAGTGGGATTGACTTGGGAGAACACTTTGGCACTGAGATGTAGTCTTTAGGGTCCCGATGTGGTGTCTTTTGTGCGTGCGTGTGTGTTTGTGAAAACAGTCCAAAGCCTGGCTTCAGGGTAGTGAGGGGAGGAAGTGAGGTGGATGACTGGGAGGGATGAAGAGATGAAATGATAGGGGAGGGGGTGGTGAGGCTGAATAGGGGGCCAAAGGGGAGATGAGGTTTTAGGATCGTGGATCAGTCTATGAGTATATCAGTCGGCCTGTCTGTCTGGTGCTGCAAAGCCTGAAAAGCCAAACCTGAAAGCTCCCCGTGTCTTCCCAAGACGCCTGTGCTGACGCCTACTGTAATATCCCAAGTGTTTCTTTTCGTCACTTTCTTTTACTTATGCTTTGTTTCATTTTGTGCCCACAGTTTGCGATATCTTCAGTAAAAGCATACATTTCCAGGTGTTAATTTTCATGTGCATTTACCACCTTCACTTTAAGTTTGCAGATTTTTCGTAAAGCTGCATTAATCAATATTTTTATATTCACAAAGTATTAAATGATTATGTGTAAAGCGGAAGATGGCGCCTGGAGTGGCGGACCCGCAAAAAATTACCCTGCAGTTTTGTAAAGCTTCTTTTAGCACATTGTTTTGGTTTTCTGGCCTGCAACTTTAATGTTCTGATTCATTCTCAGCTTTGTTTTCAGCCTCAGTAAAAAGCTCCAAAAACAAACTTCTACGCTACCTGCCCAGCACCAGTTGGCCCCCAAATTTAGCTACTAGCTAACATAGTGGTGCATTTAACAGCTAAAGAGCCTGATATTTTCCATCAGGAGCTAGTGAGGTGCAAATCAGAGTTAAGAGGACAGTGAATATTGGATTCATCAGGTGACCGCAAATATCACTTCAAATAAATGCTAATGTTACTTCGTGTCTGCTAGATGTTTAAATAAGCAACTGTTTGCTAACATGTTCACCATATCAACTTTGTAAAGTGCTAATATGTTAATCTTAATATGTTAAGCATTGCGCCCCAAAAAATCTAATCCCCCCAAAACCCTTGGACTGATACTTGGACTTGAGCCAGACTTTAATCCAAAATCCCCAAAGACTTGATTTGAGAATTGAAACCAAAAATTTTGATGTCATTATATCTTGGAGCAAACAAAATGTATAAGTCTGAACCAGGCTTCAATGTTTTATTTTTAGACTGAAATTACTTCTCATATATGTACAAAAAATAGACACAAGTTTGAAATGACAATGTTCTGTGAAACGTGTCATCTGAATGGTCACATTCAGAGACCTGAAAGTCTTACAACTAACTTTATGAAGACTTGTTACTGAACTTGGACTTCAAAACAGCTCTTTCCAGAGGCAACATCTTTAAAATCCTTAAGGGTGAAACAGAAAGTAAAGATAAATTGTTGCCCACCAGCATTTTTCTCAAAGGTGCAGTTTTCTGTTTCATCCAGTTGGTGTCCTCATGCCTCCATTGAAAACGTATTGCTGTGGAGATGCCAGAACCTGAACTCCATACTGGTGGTAAAACTCTTTTCACCCTCTTTACCCTCCTCCCTACACGGCGCCTCCATTATTGTAGGCTTTAGCTCCATTGCTCTACCTTAATTGTTTCCTGAAGTTTACCGGGTTGTTTTTGAAAAGAGAAGGGACATAGCTGGCCACGCAGGATGGGCAGTAGAAATGATGGCGCCCTGCAAAATGACACATGTTGACAAATGTTGGGTGGGTAGAATGAGAGGTAGTCATATAGGCACAGCTAGAGTGAGAGGATGTGGGGGCGAGGGAGTTGAGAGTGGGAGGTAGGTGAAGGGAGGAAGCCAGAGTGAGGAGAAAAGAGTGTGGAGGAGATCTTTGGCGGAGGGGAGGCGAGTCAGGTGTGTCTGTTATTGGAGAAAGAACAGATAGTTAGGCCTCATTGCATCCTTGGCAGTCCGTCCTCTCGAGATTAGTCTATAAACATCACGTACGTGTGTGTGTGTGTCCATGTGTGGGCGGTTGCAATGCGTGGAGGCCTTGCGTCTCTGAAATCCACCGTTTTAATGCTGACCACTTCTTTTCACCATCATCTCTCTGCTGACTCCGCCGTCAGAGTATTTACAGATGCACAACTTGCAGTTAAACAACTCTATCCTTCGTGACCCCAAAAGTAGAATTAAAACAATTAATTACCGTTAACCCATACTTGGGGTATAATTATCAGCACACAGCCACCAAGCTAATTCACCCCCCCCACACACACACACGCACAAACACACACACACACACGCGCGCACACACACACGCACTTTCTCCTTTCCTCACCTTGCTTTAACTTATGTCTAAATTTAGAGAGAGAAAGAGTGGAGATATTGGTGTGAAACTCCCGGGGACAGAAACGCACACGGCTGGCTGTCGGTAATTAGGTTGAGCCACTTCTTGCCATTGTTAACATCCTGCTTTAATATGAGAAGGAACCCTGCCTGACCCTCTTAGGCGTCTTCATTTCTACATGATGTCTATCTTTCCCACACACCTCCCTTTTCTTTCCTTTCCCTCTTCTCTAGCTCTTCTTTCTTCATTATGGAATTCCACTGTGGTCTCTTCCTTTGTTGTTACCCCCCCTCCCCCCCCATTGTATCTTTCCAAGCTCTTTCCCGTTCTTGCTCTCTCTCAGTTCTCTACTTAGCCTTTCACACAAATGTAATTTCTCTCCTTTTTCTGAATTCCATGCTCTCTCTATCCATCCACCCCCCCGCTCTCCCTAACTGACTGTGCCGTCTGGTATATTTTTGGCTGTATGCTCTCTAGAAATAGGCTTTTGTGGATGGCAAGGTCACCGGCTTAATTAAGAATGGCGAGAGGCAGTCAGAAGTTCACATCCTTTTTCTTCTTCAATTCATCCTTCCTCCGCTTACTTCGCACTCTGTGTCTTCGCGACATGTGACGGCGGTGGTACAGTAGAGCAGAAGTACAGTATTGTGCGTGGCAATCACCACAAGCCATTACATTGTGCACAGGACTGCAGAGAATCAAAATTCCGGTCAAGCCCGTTGAAGAGGGACTGAGAGAAAAAAGGGACATGTTTTTTTTGTCATACTTTGCAATGATAATGACATTATCGACATGAATAATGCAGTGTCTGCAGCGACCCCTTTTTTTCCACTCCTATTTTTTTTATAGCCCAGTGATTTTCATGCTGCTACAGAAGCATAATGTACTGTCCTCCAGTTCACTCTATTGCAAGAACATTACAATCTCAGATTTTCTTAGCTCTTTCCAACTACTTTAAGGGCATTTCTGTTATACTTGCGACACTGTGGTTTGAATACTGATTTAACGCCGGTACCGTTCTGTCCTTACTGATAGTGATAATATTGATGTGTGATTCCCCCCCCCATTTTTTTCACCCCTTCTTCATATTGACAATGACCCAGTACTTTAATTGCCATTGTCAAGGGAGACTGTAAAGAGGGTCATGAAGCCTCTAGTGAGGCATCCTCCTTATTTGGATGCCTCCACCAGAGCTGCTTGGGGAAAACATGTGGGTGAATGAAACAATGCACACACACACACACATACACACACACATACACATACACATAGCCCAATCCCACTTTACCCAACAAGCACTTCCTGTGCTTCACCCAAATCCCCATTACAGCGTGCCTGTCTCTTTTTAAATATTTGAGAAGTTTGTTTTCAGCATGTAGATTTGTTTTGTGATGTCTCCTTACAGCCAAATGACGAAGCTCTGTGTGTCATTCTTGTTTTTGGGCTTCTTTTAATGCAATGTTTTCAGTGTTTCCTGCATCTCCACACACAATTTCATGTCTATATTTTGAGTTGTTTGTGTCAAAGATCGCATCAGCGCAGGTTTGCCCCGGCTTGCTGAACCGTATGCAGCTCATATGAAAACATATAGCAATGGTTTGCTGTTTGTATTCCTTCTGGCAGCGTTAAATGCTTCTTGTCCAAGAGCTCTGTGCCATTTATCAAAGTTTATTGCTTGAAAGGGAACAGGGAAGCTATTTCTGCAAATAAATTTGACACTGTAGTGATGGGTTATGGCTCCAGTTTGATGAGGATGTCTGTCAGTGGCGTTTCAAATTGAATGCGATCCTAGCCGACGGTAATACAACTCAGAATTACACATCTATTGATGCAAACAATGCGCTGCAAAACAGTAATTGTGGGTCTACATGAAAGGAATAGGCAACAAGTCAGTAACATTATTAGCATGCATGAAGCTGCGTGTGTGTCTGCTTGTGTTTATATACCTATTTAGTGAGTGTTCTGGCAGCGCTCTTATCCGACTGTTTATTTGTCTCTCTGTTTAGGAGATGTACTCCAAAGGTATGATCCTGGCCAGTGCTGTCAGACAGGTGCGAGGACTGGGTGACAACAGGTTTGAGGTAGTTACCTCCCTTCGGACCTTCATATTCCGGGCTGAAAGAGAAGGTACAACAAGTGCATCCTTGACTTTTCTTTGTTCTGCATTTTGCTTCCTGTTCTGCTCCGTCTGTCTGCCTCTGTTGCTCTGACCATCCTGATTCCCTGTCTAGCCTTGTTTTTCTTTCTTGTTCACCCCCATTTCTCCGCCTCTGTCTGTCCTTTTCCATCTTCCCCCTCCCTTTTGGCTTCTCTCTCTCTCTCTCTCTCTCTCTCTCTCTCTCTCTCTCTCTCTCTCTCTCTCTCTTTTTCACATGCATTCTGTCATTTTGGGAAATTTGCTTTCTTTCAGTGCGTGATATGAGACGATAAGAGCTCAAGCCTGTGCGTTAAGTACAGAGATGGGGTGTTTAGCCTAGCTTAGCATAAAAATTATAGATAGGCGGAAACAAATCTCCTGGCTCTGTCCTAAAACACAGCTTCCAATTAAATATATTCAGCACAAAGTTTTTCATTTTAGGGTGAGTTATGTGCTGAAGTATTCGCTAGCAGACAACAACTGGGCACAGCCACTGTGCGCTGAATCTGACATTTTGGGGAAAACACTTATATGTGAGAATGAGATGTGAGAGATTGATATCACTCTCATGTTTGTATGGTAAATCTGAAGCTACTCTCTGCAGATGGTTTGCCTGGTTTTAGCATTAAGACTGGAAATTGGGAAACAGCTAGTGTAGCTCTAAAACCAACACCTCTAAAGCATACAAGCTAACAAATTATATAGCATTTGTTTCAATCTCTTTTACAATCTCTGTTTAATCTAATGCTGCATATTAAATACAGATCTGGATTCAGAATGTTCTTGTTGTGAAGACTGATTAGCAAGACTGCACTGACACGGCTAGCTTGTCTCTTTCTCAAAGTTAATTAAATACAACTTCTCTGAAACGGACTAATTAGCACGTCTTAGCTTACTTGCTCTGTATGTACGTAACAGATTTAAGCCAGACGTTCCCTAAAATTGCTAATTCTTGTTTGTTGTTGTAACACACATAGTGTCAAGTATATAGCCTTGTTTTTTTAATCTTTGGACAGAGCAGGCTCAGTCTGGGAAGCAGGGGGATGGGTGTATACGATGGTGTTTAGGGAGATTCTGTTGGCTGTAATGACTTCATGTCCCTGTCTGAGCCATGTTATTAAGTCAATCAAAAGGGAAAAAGAATGTGTTAAAAAAATGAACAAATACTCAAATCTCTCAGAGACTGGTCTTTTAATAGTCTCTTTCCTCCGTCCTCTCCTCATCCCTCTGTCAGACAAAATGGAGTAAGAGTTGTCTCGTCTTATCGTCTTTCAGCTGGGAGCTTTGTCTGTGTCGGACCTTAATGAGAAGGGGAAGAGACACTTTCCGCTGCTTTACCTCCTGCCTGTTTGATGGCAGTCTATTAGGCTGCCCGGGTCAAACGGCGCATTCACTAATCGAGGGTCTGTATCTGTGGTCAGATAGGGTCACGTGGATCAGTGAGATCAGAGGAGCTGAGCTCTGCATGGTTATGGCGTTGAGAACCTTTGACGCATTGTGTAGTACAGTGAGAACATGGTAGAAAGATCTTTATCGACTAGATCACTGAATGCAAGTTATTGATGTCTGATGAACTAGGAATAGAATAACCAATATTTGACCTATTCATCATTGGTATTAAGCATCTACTCACTGCCCTTGATAAGTTCAGCTGGTCGTTTTTTGCTCTGTGTTCAGTTAGAAATTTGCCCATTCGTCAGAAAACTTTACAAGGTGATAATATGTCAGTGTTGTGTTTTTATAGCTTTTGTCCGCTGCCCCTAAGCTGCCAAAAAAATAAATCAGTTGCAGATTCAAGCTTTACCCTTACTTTAGTATTGAGTATTGAGTGTTTGCACCACTGTTTAAGCCAAAGACCAGGCAGCCATTCTAGACAGCAGTGGATGAATTGGATTCAAGCTGGGTTGACATCTCAAAACCCTGGACTCACTGACAATCCCAACATTTGTAGAAATGCACCACAATGAGGAGTAAGTTATTGATTTGTGGTGCTGATTTTGGAATATGTACAGTAAACATAGTAATACTCTGTGCTCAGTAGTACTACTTAACTACATATTTTTTTGAAGGCCAGAACCTTCAAGTACTCATAACTAAACTGCAATGATTAATTGGTTAGTTGTTAACTCTTAAATAAATCGGCAACTATTTTGATAATCAATTAACTGGTTTGAGTAATTTTTTTAAGGAAAACGTGTTCCTGAATGTGAGTGTTTCGTGGTTTCTTTACTCATCCGTGATATTTGTGTTATGGACAAACCAAGACATTTGAGGACGTCATCTTGGGCTTGGGGAAACACTGATCGCCATTTTTCAGACCAAACAACTAATCTGTTACTTGAGAAAATAACAAACAGATTAATGGACAATGAAAATAACTGTTAGCTGCAGCCCTACTGGTAACTACACTTGACTAAACTTTACAAAAACTTAGTTTTTAGATAATAAATAGCGAATGAATAGAAAACCCACAGTTAATAGCAAACACAATACATGCCACTGAATGAAAGTCTTATTTCAGACTTGTGTGTTGGTCATCAATAGGGATGATAAGATAAGATATGATTTATTGTCCCCGAAGGGAAATTTGTTTTGGACTCTGTCCGTTCTGCAGCTTTTTAAGACAACACAAAATACAGAAATAAAACATCTCTCAACACATACTCTCATGCAACACAACACATGCTGTCATATACATTAGACAGTTACCTATATAGTAGCGGTATGAAAATTTCATATCACGATTATAGTGACCAAAAGTATTATAACGGTATTGTGAAAATGTCCCAAAAGAGAATAAAATGTACTGATACACACACTGGAACCTTTTCAACAAGTTTTACATTGAAAAAATAACAGCCAACCTTTTGTGAACATTTGAAAACCATCTTAGTGTGCATTATCAAGATTTTATATTATATAGGTAGTGCAATGACTCCATGCACAATTACATGAAAACAAATAAGTCTCGTCTATAAGACAGTAACTGCAATGAGCCCAACAACTGACATAAATACAGAGCAGTCTGCAGTGTTTCTCCTGTTCTGACACTTTTTTACAACTAATCTGATGGCTGCTGGATTTAAAATGAACAAGATATGCTGATTGGTTGACTGAACTGCACGTGTTATCATGTGCAGTGGATGAATAGAGTCTGCAGACACTTGACGCACACAGCAGCAGAACAACATGTTTTCACAAGAGCATCTCACACTGAGAGCTTCAGTTTACAAGCTGTTAGCAAGTCAGACAGACAACCCACAGCTAAAAGTGAACTCACCCTCCGTTCACTATAAGGTCATTTTGTTCAATCAAGTTTCTCTCAGCTCGTTCATAAAAACTAAAATACGACCAGACTTCAGAGTGACTGAAAAATCTCTGCAGCGCTGTCTTACGCTGTGTTGTCATTGACCCAAACAAACCCCCGTTTCGTACTGCGCAAGCATACTGCTTAGGAGCTAGTGTTTAATGCTTTGTGGTAGAAGGATATTTATCTATTATTATCACCACTGGTTTATAATAACCAACAACTTTCCCTTTAAAACTTTTTTTCATCTATTTTCACCACACTGAGCAACGAGCGATTGTCTCCCCCTGTCCCTGTCGATTTGGCGCATCATCATATCGATGACTGCAAGCTTCTTTTGTCCGTTTGAGTCGCGGTCCTCAGCGGCGTCATTTATCACACTGCTGGATGATCATCATACGTCACACTCAGCCGTCCTGACAAGAGCTGGGAGGGGAGAAGGCTGTCTGATTTTGGAGGTGGCCTCTGACCGCCTGGGATCGGTGGGAAGCCTCTTGCAGAGGTGGCTGCTGTCGTCAGTACAAAGCGTGTGCAGGAGAGATGGAGAGGGGAAAAGAGGAGAGAGAGCGAGAGAGACAGAGACGGAGAGTGAGAGAGTGAGAAGGAGGAGAAAACTTGGCCTCATCACCTCATGCATCTTTAAACAGGCCCGCTCGCCTTGTGGCGGAGAGTCATCAATCTTAGGGGAAACACATGAGAAAGAGGGAGACATGGGGAGACAGAGGGAAAGAAGGAGTAGGTTAGTGAAGTGGAGGTAAGGATCTGCTGGGCTGATCCAGTGGGGGGTAGAGATGGGGGGAGAAAACAGTGGAGAGTGCGAGAGTGTTAAAGGCGTCCAGGAGGGACATTAGAAGAAGCGGATAGGAGAAAACGGGGGGGGGGGGGGAAGGGCTTAAAGGAGGGAATAACAGAGAGAGAGGCAGACACGCAATCACAGTGTGAAGAAGCAACAGAGAGGTAAAGGCAGCAACGGCAGGGAGAGATGAAAAGGGCAGAATGAAGATGGAGAGAGAGAAAGGAGGAGGGAGAAGTGAGTGAATAATTGAAGGCCACCGGAGAGAGTGTGCACACAGCTGTCGGCTGATTCTCCACTTGGTCCGCAGGTGGCCTCTTCCCTCAGGTACTGTCAGCTTGAGAGAGGCTAGATGGAAGGAGGAAGGAAGGCAGGCATGCGGGGGGGTGGGGTAAGGAGGGAAGAAAAGACAGAGAGGGAGTGATGCGGAGAGCAGTGGCAGCAATGGGGGAGAAGAAAGCGAGAGTTTGGCAGGAAAGAGACACGGCGGAGGGTGATGGAAAGCGGTCAAGACAAGCGGAGGTGTGGAGGGGATGCTGACAAATACGCCCCAAGAAGATGGCATTTATGGTGCAAGAAAAAAAACAACAAAACGTTGATGATTTGTATTCTGATGCTTTGGCAATTGCCTCTCCACAAGCCTGCTCCTAACACATGTTGGTTTTGTTTGAAATGACAGGAAAGAGAGTTAGAGAGAGAATAAGTAGGGAGAACAACCAAATGACTGGGAGCAGGCCAGAGAGAGAACGATGGCAGGAATATAAACTCAGGAGGACGTACAGTGGGAGTGAAGATGTATAAACTGTAGTGCATGTTTCACTTTGTATTATTTCACCTGTAAGCACTGACATATTATCACCTCACAGAGTTGTCATGATGATCAACAAAGCAACAATCGCCTTTTTATTGGGATCATGACGGAGTCGATCTGACGCATGCAAGTCCACAACATTTTCTCTCCTCTTTTAGCCCTGTTTCGGTCTCCTGAGGGACATCTTGGCACAAATACACAATGTATATTTAGATTGTAATAGACCCTGACAAATGATGCTGGGTTTTTGAGGCCTCAGAACAAGTGCATTTTGGATTACCAAAGAATTCTGACCAACATATGTATGGGAGAGAAGATTGAAATGAGAGAAAACAAAGCACATGGCCACAATCCATCTGTTTTGTGTATTTTTCTTTTTTCCCCCCAGTTGATAGGGACTGTGTGGGCGCCTTCTAAGATCTCTGCTGAGCGCTAAGTGGACCTGGCTCTCATCTCATCCACTTTCAATGAGGATTATCTGCCTCTCTACTCGTCTCTCTCCATGTAAAGTGGAATGGTCTTTCAAATACACGGCTATACATATATCCCCTGAACAGGCGATGAAGCTAGGCGCATGCAGAGGTGAGGGCATGTTTGCACACAGAGTGGAAAGTAATTTTGGCAAGCCGCGCTAGAGTTGTGTGAGACTGTGTGTGTGTGCACAAACAAACAAAAACATATACTTCATCATATGCAAGGCACATTCGGGCACACAAGTCAGATGCACGTATGCTAACACGCAGGCGTATGGGCATGCCACTGTCTCACTGCTCCTCTCAATTTTCTCTCAATCCTCCCACCTCATGCCTCGTTCCAGCCCTCCCTCCCGCGCTCAGATTGACAGCCTGGGCGAAGAGGAAGAGTGGAGGGAGTGAGGAAGGGCCTGAATAAATGAACAGGCAAATAAGTGAGCTCAGGACAGGTAATGGAACTCAGAAAGCAGGGTGGGAACGAAACAGTAAAGCCTAGTGATGTAAAGAGCAGTCAATAATTGAGTAGGGCATTTATTATTGATACCCGCTCTTTGTAAATTCATAAGAATCTGGGGGGTAGCCAGACCAGAGCTGAGTTTGGGACCAGCAGATGCAGTATTTGGGAGCTGAAGAGGGTAGTGTGTGTAGGAGTTGGAGAATCAGAAGTGGAGTCAGTGGATGTGTTCGCATGCAAGGTCAAAGACGGGCACATGGCCGCAAAAAGGCAACAGGAGGTCAGAAAGTCTCCGTCAAGAAGCTAATTAAGGTCAATTTAAGACAATGTCAGGTTGACCACGAAATGACATGTCACTGAGAACGGACCTCCTTCCTCTATTGCTCTACAGAGGAAGAGCGCTTTGAGGACACGCCAGCAGGTCACTCTGAGGGTAGCACAAGCTCACAGTTGGCTGAGGGGAAAAAACTAGTTTGTCATAAAATAATATGACAAATTGGGAAGCTTCAGAGTTTTCACAGGGTCCAACATTTTCATCCTGAAATGACCTGATGGATTCTTTTTTTAAAGAGACCATCAGGCCTGATCCAAGCAGAGCCTGAGGATAATTAGATCCAAAAATGCAGTCAACCCAGACAGACCCACAAGGGAAGATAACACCAACACTAGAAGCAGCATGATGAACCGCCCATTATCAAGCACCTGTGGTCAAAAAGAGAAGCAAATGCATGTCCCTTTTCCCCTGCACTTCATAGTTCACAATGTCAATTGAAGAGACACTCTGACTAATATTATCATTATTCATTCATCTGCTCATTATTTTCCTAATTATTTGGTCTATAAAATATCAGAAAATAGTGAAAAACGTTCCACAGATATTCACTTTTCTGTCATGTATAACAAAGAAAAGCACAATATTCATGTCTTCCTTGATAAATTTCCATGGTTGAAGGAGAAGATTTAGGAGCAAATTGGTAACCACGACCACAAGCATCTGCAGCTGATATTTTGTAGAAAAATACTTAATTATTCTTATAAACCAGACAAGTAATCACAGCAGACGTTTATACTCTGGCTAGTCAGAAACTATTTACCGTTTTGTCTTTATTTGTAGCGTCCTCAGCATGTCTAAGACAACCAAGGCCAGCACAGTGTTGTCGTAATTTTGCACATTTTGTATAGACCCACCCCCTTATATTAGCTGTTACAGGCTATGTAAGTTAATATGTGTACATTTATCTTAGTCATCTAGGTAATGAAATGTTCCATGGATCTGAAAAGACACATTTTCCCATTGTGGAGATCAATAAAGTATCGCAAAACAATTATTCTCTCTAGCAAATAATACTGGTGAAGCATGGCAATGTAAGTAGAACCTGCCACAAATAGTTCCTCATGCTTCCTTTGCCTACACAGCTAATAGTACAATTGATTTTGCTGACATGATTTGTGTGTCGGTAGTCTTTCTCCTTTTGGCAAACTGGCATAATAAGCATAATAATGGATAATAAAATGAATCTGAGAAGTGATTACACCAAGGTAAGGCCTTTAATAAAACACACCAGGGTCATTTGGAAATACAGACATCAAGTACTGTTGTTTGCTCATATTCCTGGGAGTCCAAAAATACATTTCCTGAAAAGGGGGGGTGCGAGGCCCCCACGTCTGACCACACTAATGTAGTTCTGAGAGCATCACTTTGTCACTTTGTGTATTTCAGAAAAGTATCATTCTGTCAGTGTTGGTTTTTTTGTTTTGGATGATGAGTTGATAGCTTCGCAGGTTTGAATTGATGTGCATTTACTTTTTGAAAACTTTATTCCTGTATGATTATGTCCTTTTTAGAAAAGAGGGTAGGCTGTTGCCTTTTCTCAAATTTGCAGGACCATCCAAACTGATTTGTTGATTGATTTGTTTTCATATCAGTTTACAGATGTTTTTGATCCCGTTTTTTGTTCCTCCTCTTAGTCTTTTTCTGTCATGGATTGTCATGTAAGAGCTACCACAGTGGGTGCTGCTTTGGACCTGTGGTGTGTGTGCGCGCCTGCGTTAACAATTCTTGTGGTATCTCTTGTGTTTCCACTTTGATAGCACAATGTCTTTGGCGGTAGGGGAATGGGCTTCACAGTGCTGGTTTCATGTCGTCTTTTATGTCCGTTTGAAAACTTGGAGAGAAGATATGTGAGGCCTTTTGAGGGTACATTGTTTGAATAAAAACCTTGAATGGAACATGATGCATTGCTCTACACTTGAGCCGTTTAGCTGTGCAGTAATCCAGGCTGATTTACAATAAGTTAGAGCTTCAGTGTCCTGTTCAAGGACAAATCATTTTTGAAGACACCACACATCTGAAGGGCCAGTTACAGGACGCTCCCACGAGCAGAGATTGTCCAGTTATATCTTAGCAACTGTAACTAGGCACCGCAGGCCTGTGGAGCTTTGGGTTTCTCCGTATGCATGGGGCTGTAGTTGCAAAACTCTGTATATAAAAAAGTTTATATGTCTTATAGTCTTTACAAACCCAAAAACACAGCAAAACTAAAAGTAATGGATTAAACAGTGTGTTAGTTTGCTCCAACGTTAGCTGCAAATGTTAGCATGTCCAGCTAACTAGCTCAGTACCTACACAAGTCCAAGACTAAGAGTCTATTGCATATAATTAAACTACCTGCATTAGTTTGTGGGGTTGCAGGTTACTTAAAAAAAAATTGTATTTCCCACTGATTAGAAGCCAGAGTTTAGAGTCACATTAGCATCTCTGACCTGCACTAATGTTACATTACGGTTAGTTTTTTATCTGAATATCCAGTGGGTTACATTCTGTCAAAAAGCCTTTCTGCTTGTAATTTTAAAAAGTGAAAACTTATGCTTTTATGGGTTATGTGGCGATGAAATAACAGTTTAATCTTTATTTTTCCATGTCATACTTAAAGATTAAGATTGACTTGACTGACTAAGAGGCTGTTTGCATGATAAAATGTATGAGTGCATTAGCTGGAAATATTAAAAAGTCAACACAGTGCTTTCAACCAATTCATGGAGCTAACGTTAGCTTAATTAGCTATCTAGCTTCTGCTGATAATATCTGCCAGTGACTTTTGTCATTTCAGCCTGCACACTTGATGGTCAATGGTTAAAAATGAGAACGCTGCTTTTGTCTGTTTGCCTAAAATGAAGGATTAATTGTTTCAAAGATTACTAAGAATTTCAAGTGGTACATCTGCAACCATTATAACTGTAAACTGCATTTATGCTCTGTGAGAACTTGAATTTTGACAGGGCTTAGCAACCTTCTAGTTGGTAAAACCACAAAACACAAACAAATGTAAGTGATCTTTACAACTGAAATAAACTGCTCCTTGAAATTTATTCACACCTTTCTGTGACTTTGCTCTGTTGTTTTCCAGGTTGAGACAATTTAGTGGATTCACAGAACTATTGCTGAATCTCATTAGAAGCTATATATTTTTAATCCTGTATTTTAATTAGGTGGTGTGTTTTACTCAAATTACCCATGTCACATCTTGCCTGAGGCTTTCAAATCTCAGAGTAGCAGCTATCTATATCTCCAGTGCTAGACTTTGCACTTTTAAGCTTTGCAGGATATTCTTTTTCCAGGGGCTAAGTTAATTTTCACCAATCGTAGCTCATCCGGTGTTTCAATTACTTTTCTTTTGGACTAGAATTTTCTGTATCAGTATGCAGTAGAGGTTTAGCAACCAATAAGACCGTGAAGTCACTGAAGGGAAGCAAAAATGATGAATTAACAATATAAGTCAAAGACTTCAAAACGCCTTGATCTCTCTTTGTCTAGTTCTCTTTTCGGCCTTTCTTGATTTCTTTATCTCTTGTTTTCACTCTTTCACAAACTCGCACTTGTACCCACACGCACCATGTAGCTCTCTTTTTCTCTGTTTCTGTCTCCCACTCCTACATGTGTCCACAGGGGAGCGCCAGGAGTGGATGGAAACTCTTCAGACGGCCACGCGCCCCCCCGCCTGCGGCTCCCAGAAACGCTCCGACATCCTCCCCTCCTCCACAAACAAGCGAGGCTTGCTGGAGCTCCGCGGTTACAAAGGCAGAGTGCTGGTGTCCCTGGTGGGGAGTAAAGTCAGACTCTGCAAAACAGAACAGGTACTTCCAGCACTGCCGGGACTTCCTCTCTACAGGATGACAGCTTCCTGTTTGAAAAAGTAAAATAATAATCACAGCCTATTTGAAGCAGATGAGGCAGAAATGGAGAAAGATATAGAGATGTTCATGAATGTGTAATGCAAAAAGTAAATATACAGTATATGTGTGAAAACGCTTCAGTGTTCACTCCGATATATTGCACACTTGGTGAGTACAAGCACGTTACTCTTCAGGGTTTGGGGCCCTGGGGCAGTTGCCTGCTTTGCCCAGTTGGTAGTCTAGCTCTGCTTTTCTCATCTACTTTCAGTATAGTGTGGTCCAGGCTTCTCAGGCAGCAATGATTGCCCCGCCCTTTTTTGCTCTTATTGCTAAATCGCAGTTTGTTCAGCCAGAAAGAGAGACATTTCCAAGCATCAATGTTGCCCAAATGTCACACAGTCAGCACCAAATGCCCCTCTGGTCAGCCCAAGTAACCCCAGGTGATCATGTGATATGCCAAGTGCCCCTTTGGTTCACCCGTTTGCCCTTTGGCTGGGATAAGTAAGTAAATAAAATGTATTTATTATAGCACCTTTCACAGAGCAAGTCACAAAGTGCTTTACAATGATAAAAAAATAGCAACAATAAAACAGTGGAGAAATCAGACATCATCCATAAGCATCAAACATTATAAAAGGCATAAATCAAAATAATCAATGTATTTATGTATATTAACAGGCGCATAAATTATCAAAATTAATGTTTTGTATTTTAAAGAGCACATGAATATTCACAGTTAAAAGTTTATAGGGAGACAAAGGCCTGCTTAAATAAGAAAGTCTTCAGCTGACTTTTAAATGCTTCGAGACCTCAGGGCATAGGTCTGACAGAAGAGTATTCCACAGTGTTGGTGCCACCACTTGGAATGCACGGTCACCACTAGTTTTGAGACATGCACACGGGACTGCTAGTAGGCCTTGATCTGAGGATCTTAGTGGCCTAGTGGTAGTATACGGGCGAAACAGATCTGAGATGTACTCAGGTGCCTGACCATGCAGCGTTCTGTATGTTAAAACGAGCACTTTAAATTGAATCCTAAATTTCACAGGGAGCCAATGTAAGGAGAACAGAATGGGTGTTATATGACTTCTCCGGCTGTACCTGGTCAACAGCCTTGCAGCAGCATTTTGGACCATTTGTAAACCAGGGACGACTTGCTAAGAGATGTATAAAAGGAGATGCAGTAATCAAAGCGGGAAGAAATAAAAGCATAAATTATCATCTGAAGTTCTGGTTTTGAGACAACAGGTTTGAGCTTAGCAGTGTTTCTTACATGAAAGAAACACGACCTGGTCAAAGTTTTAACATGTCGATCAAAGTGCATTGATGTGTCAAACATAACCGATTCCTAAGATTTGATTTTACTGCTGATGAAAGTGATCCAATATGCTGAGTGATCGAGGGAGCTATGCTCAGGTGCAACAATAAGGACCTCAGTCTTGTCTGTGTTCAGTTGTAAGAAGTTTTTAGCCATCCAATTTTTAATGGCAGTGAGGCAGTTGCATAGTGTGATCAGTTTGTCATACTCATCTGACCCAAAAGTGACATACAGCTGGATATCATCAGCGTAACAGTGACAAGAAATGTCCTTGAAATTATTAATAATGTTGCCTAAGAGGGGGCCCACAGAACCCTGTGGCACACCACAGGATAGAGCAGCAGTTTTAGACATGTAAGTTCCCAGTGACACAGAGAAGCTCCTCTCTGAGAGGTAGGAAGAGAACCAGTCCAAGGCACTCCCAGACATACCCACCCACTTCCAAAGCCTATAGATCAGGATACTGTGGTCTGTCGTGTCGAAGGCTGCACTAAGATTGAGCAGCACCAAAACGGAGATTCTAAGTAGTGCTGTTTCTGTGGAATAATTCTGATGGAAACCAGATTGGAACTTGTCGAGTATATTGTGGGCAGTCAGAGTGGCAGTGAGCTGTTTGGCAACAACTTTCTCTACTATTTTTGAGATGAATGGCAGCTTGGAAATAGGCCTGTAATTTCTGGACAAGGAATGGATCCAAGATTGTTTTTTTTTTTTTTCAGAAGAGGTTGAATTATTGCATGTTTGAATTAAAGTGAAACAAAACTAGAGCTGAGGGAACTGAGGCTCTGCCTTCCTACACTTACGCCTAAAACACTGACATTTACAGTCGGACACTTACGCCTAAAACACTGAATGGCGTCATTTAGCCAGGGGGAAGGGTGTGTGGAGGGGACACGTCTCATTTTACTCGGAGCCACTTGATCCAAGACTTCAGCGCAATGTGAATTAAAGAGTGGAGTGAAGATTATTAAAATCAGTATGGTGAGACAGAACTGTGTTTTGGTCAAAAACAGCAGAAAACTTTTCAGGCACTTTTTTAAAGTGACTTTTTTTAAATTAAAGGAGAGGTTGAACAAGACACAGTATTGATCAATGACATGCAGTTCCTCTGAGTAAATACAATCAACATTTAACCCAAGGTTAAAAATAAGGTCCAATGTATGGCCCTTAATGTGTGTGGGACCGGACACATGTTGAACAAAATTAAATGATTCAGTGATACATAAAACTCAGCAGCAACACTACAGGAGGCATCATCAATGTGAGTATTAAAATCACTCATTACCGCTTTGCCCAACCGTATAATAGAAGATAAAAAATCTCTAAAATCAGACATAAAAGAGCTGTTAGAACCAGGGGGTCAATAAATTAAGATACAAAAAATGGGGTTTGAATGACCCACTTTGGTCACTTGTAGTTCAAATGATGAGGAAAATCCCTGTGGTCATCCTCCAGATTTGAAAGCAGTTTTTGGGGACCATCGCGAGACCTCCACCCCGACCAGAGGTCCTAGGAGTACTGATAAAAGAACGATCCTGTGGGCACAATTCAATTAACGGGCCATTTTCCATGCTTCTTTGCCAGGTTTCAGTCAGAATCATTAAATCCATTTCCTTGCAGGTGAAAAAATCGTTCAATATAAACAACAGGACAGTTAGTTGTGAAACAGGAAGGGGGAAGGGAAGTGAGTGAGTGTGGAATAATTTGTGATCCCAGTCTGTTTGGGTGAAGTTCATCCCTTTTAAAAAGAGAACGACGTTCCCAAAAGTTATTAAAATTATCAATATATTTCGTTAGCTCTACAGGCAACTTGTAGCCTGTCATGGTGGCTGAGGAGTCTGCTAAAATGACTAGCACCACGGGCAGCTGAGTTAATGGGACCTGAGACAAACATGGATTTCCCGCACTGCATTAAGAAGTAAAAAAAAGATGGTTAAAATCCAATTTGGTCAACTCAGACTGCTTACGGGCTACCTCATTTGCTCCCACGTTGACTATTACTCTTTTACTAGAGGATGGGAGTGATGGCAGTAAAATCGGGAGCTTTTTATGATGTCAGTAACCATAGAACCTGGATAACAGTGTGTGATGGCATTAAAGAAACGCACATTTCTTGTTAGGGAATCACCAATGATTAGTGTTGAGGGAGGAAAAAGTGGCTGGGGGATATAGACTGGGCTCTGTCAGGGCCTTCACTAACTGTGGGTGAAATGATGCGACAGAGGACCTGTGCAACGAGAGATCGTTGTCCGACTTTGTGAAGCCGACTTTGTTCTTTTAATTTCAAGCAGTCTGTTGTTGCATAACATCAGTCCCCACGTAACACGCACATGACAGCAGTTTTGAGGTCACGAAGTAAAGGTTTATTGACAGATTGTAAGTAACATATGTAGTAATGAAATTCAGTGACACTTTGGCTTAATGTTTATGTTAACTATTAACGACAATTTATGCAAAGTGAGGTTGTTGTTTTTTTCATTTTTAATTCTGTTTTAACCCATTTTCCATTCTGTTAAATCTGCGCTTGCTCACTGATTCAAGAAACTTAGTACAGATTCTCAAACAAATTATTTGTCTAAGTATAGCCAGTGGCTTAAGTGAATATTTATGCAGTACCTTTGACTATTAATCATGGTTTGGTTTCTTTGGTTTATTAAACAAGGCATTTAAGATACTCTGATTGGTAAGATGATGAATCTTATTGGCTTAAGTGACCATCCCTGCTTTAGATGGCAAGAGAAAAATAAGACATGTGGTCTAAAAAAGGTCTCAGTGCTTTGAGTTGAAATCCTGAGCTCCTCTTCCAGCAGCGCAGCACCTGCCTTTTAAACAAAATAACTTGTAACAAACAAGTCATATTAACTGTCTGGTATATTGTTTTGTCTTGTCAAACAACCACTGGATTTGTGGGTATTTTAAAAGTTAGGCAAAATCTGGAATGGGGCACCCTTGGTAATGTAGTACTTGCTGTTTGGAGTAATTGAAAACCACTGTGAGGGGGAGGATTGCATATCTCATACCTCTGATGCATTTTTATGATCTTTAAAAGACTACTCCAGTGATTTAGTATTGCACTTCCATAAATCTTTTGAGAGACTGCATGGTCAAAACGAAGCAACAGATGACGAGATATCCGGACTTGTTGTCCCTAGTATGGGTCAAGCTAAAAAAACACACTGGTGCCTTCCACAAAAATTTGTTGCCTCCAATCCCAAGATGAGATATCCGGGTAATGCCACATAGAGGAACACTTTGACATCATGAGAAATATACTTATTATCTTTCTTGCCAAGAGTTTCTTGCCAAGATATAAAAGAAGATTAATGCCACCAATTATATAGCTTAGCCATTTAAAAATTACTTGTTGGCGTTTTGAAGTGAGTTAAAACCACAGTATGCTTGTTATTTTTAAATTTTTTTGTTTATGAATTAAAGAGGTGGTATTATGCTCATTTTCAGGTTCAAAATCTTATTTAGGCGTTGTACCAGAACAGGTTTACATGGTTTAATTTTCAAAAAACACCATATTTGTCTCATACTGCACATTGCTGCAGCTCCTCTTTTCACCCTATGTGTTGTATGTTCTCTCATCACTCTGTACGAGCTACAGAGTGATGCATCTTACTTGTACAAAATCTTCGTT